CTGTCAAATCCATACCTGCCATGCCGTGGCTTGGGCTGATGTTAATTGTGTTTTACTAGCCATTTTGGATAAAACAAAGCCTGAAGTAGGTTTTGGAGGACATTGTGTAGCTTACCTAGTTACCTGCACTTCTTCGGAAGAGTTTCTTGTTGGTGCCTGAAGTCCTCTTTTTTTTTTTTTTTTTTTTTTTTTTTTTTTTCTTTCCCCAGAGTGAGATAAATGACTCTTTAAAAGTTTTTTCTCTGGTTGACTGGAGCACATGGGCTAGATGCCTCTAGTTGATTTACTTAATACAGGAAATAAGATCTTAAGAAAAGCTCCGATAAAAGACCTATACAAATATGGGGCTTAACTTCCTTGATCTGACATCTGAATAGTTTGTTCATCTATTCCCTGCCAGATAATTCTTTACCTATTGGATGTTATTTCATTTTAAACTGCCAACTGCCTATGAACCATTCCTTCATTTAAAAAGCAAGTATGAATTGATTTTTTTAATATGCTTAGCTAACTGTCTCCGGGAAATATATTGTGCTCTTAAGGTTCTGATTAAACAGTTTTTGGAAGTATCTGGGCTCTACTGTGTTACACAAACCATCTTAAGTGAAAAGGCCAGGGTATACTTCAGGAGGATGGAATCCAGCCTAATGCTCATGCGGTCACCACGCGTGATTCTGTACGTTCCTCTGGCTGCTGATGTGGAAAATGCTGGGAGCTCAGAAGTTCAAGCAAAGAACCAGTGGGATGTATATGAATATTTAAAATTATGCCTCGCTGCTGGAAGAGAGCAATTGTTGAATAAACTTTGAGCAGCTTTAGGTGAGCCATCAATTATTTGATTGTCCCTGCTAGTTGTTCAAAGTATTTTTGTAGGGAAGGTGGGATGGTAAGTATTACTCGTCTGTTCTAATATTATATTTGCAAAGTCATATTCTGTAAATTCACAATGGACTATTAGGGTGCATTTGGCACCAGATTGAGCTTTCCACGCATGCAGTATAGTCAAAGCCATAGAACTTGTGTTCCAGTGAAATAAGATAGTCATCTTGGATGTGCAGTGAGCATGCTTGCCAAGAGGGTGTGGGGACCTTCCGCCTCTTTTTTGGTTCACTTAAGACAGAGTCTATCACACACAGTGAACTACCAAAAGAAACTTCAGTTTCATAGTGTTGGGGTGACTGAACCTATGTTTCCTCCTTTGAAAAAGAGTGGAAATTAGAAGGGGCGGGGGAAATACCACATTAGTAATACTTTGAGACTATGTCATGCAAGAGGCTAGGTGTCAACTTTATTAGTTCTCCAAACCTAGTTTTATTGAGGGGAGGGGGTTTTGTTTAATTGTTTTGTTGTGGTGGGGTTTTTTTTGTTTTTGTTTTGTTTTTAAGCTCCGGAGGGCCTCTGGCTTTTCAAGAGTGGGATCCTAATGAAATTTTAAGTCTTTCTTGAGCATTACCAGTTGTGTATTTTAATGTCTAGGTTGTCAGTATTCCACCTTAAACATCAACAGCTGTTTTGGAACCTCATGCTTTGATGTTTTTCAGTTACAGCTTAGAGAAACTTAGTCATATTCCACTTTTTAAAAAAAAAAAAGTATAAATTGATTTTCCTAATGCTACTAATTAGATAGAAATGACAGTGTATCAGGCAGGACAAGCTGACGTTTAGAGTTGCTGCTGTTAGGAAAATTTTTATCAGTTTAAGATGAACCATTTTAAGCTACTGGTAATTGTTCTGGACAGGTTCAAAAGCTGAAAATGACACAGGGTTGGTGTTTTTTTTTTTGAGGCATTGTTTTGGGGTTTTTTGGTTAGGTTTTTGGTTGGGTGTTTGTTTTTTTTGGTGCTGTGTTGCAGGTGGATCTGATTGCAGGACAGAAGTTTCATGGAAATGGGTAGGTTACTTAAGTTGTTAGTATCAGAAGAAGCTTCTGTGACAGGAGATCCCAAGGGAACCATTTAACCTACTCGGTATAAGTTTGGGGATGTTCTGGTCAAACACTTGCCTGGGCTCTTGCATGCCAGCTGAAGTAGGAACAGAGGATGTGCAAATGCCTCTGAGCCCCTGCATGTGGAAGGCTCCCATTCTGCTTGCTGTGACTTCTGTACTGCTCATACAGTATTTAAAAAAAAAAAAAAAAAAAAAAAAGGGCAACTCGAACAAAGAGCCCCAAACTGAAGCCTGGGGTGATCTAGCATGGGAGTCAGACATCATATGTAACTGCCTTAAGATGCTTTTGTTGTAAGATTGCAGATAGGTTGTTGTAATGTTTTAGTTCCCTCCTGTTTGTTACCTTAAGTTGTATGCAACATAGATGTAGTTTGAAAGTCTTTAGCTTCAAGTGCTTTCCTTCTTGTGATAGCTGCACAAATAATTAGTGTTGTGTAGAAAGCTTGTTTTACTTCAGTGCTGTTTATAACTGATCTCTTACTTCTCTGAGTAGATAATGAGCAAAGCTGTTCTTCCAGTACGCATTTTGTGTATTTGACAATGTGGGGGACTGTTACGCTTAGTAAAGTTAAATGTAAGCAGATGTATGAAGAATTGATTCCAAAGCCTTGATGGGTAATGGAAAGACTAATGGTAACTGTCTTGAATTTGGTAAATAAAAAGGCTTTTGGATCAGAAAGTGTTCAGAATAGCTATGATGCCAAACTGCTATATTTTCATACTGGTGTATTTTTGAACGGTAATATTGCAGGCTTTAGGTCAGTGACAGTGCACATTATACTTGGGCAAGTAAAAGAAATGAAGCGTATCACTTTTATGAATTTCACTGTGGATTAAGTGATTTATAGACCTTCCAGCAGGTATGAGTAACTCATTCAATATCTTGGGAAAAGGTTATCTTAGGATCAGCTATATTTGACCTTCATGGAAGTAAACTGACAGTATTGGAACAGAAGTACTAGAGCATTGTGTGATTTATAAGCATACGTTTCAAGTAATAGTACTGTTAGAAAAGTTACAGCTCGTCTAAGACAAGGTGTCTGTGAAAATAAAATGGATTTTAAAGAGAATGGCTGGGGTGGGGGGGAATAGATGGAGGGATGGTTTTTGGGTCTTAGGGTTTATTTTTTTGTTTTCCTTATAATAAAATTTCCATATGATTGGCTTGGCTCATTTATTTTCTGATGTTTACTTATTTGATTGAATGGGGTCTAGCAGCCATACTGGTGAGATGGAAAAGTTCAGTAATAGTGTATTTTTATTTTTTGTAACTTTAAAAGCTCTCTTTGCTATATGAATTGTGAAACAATATGGAGTCTTGGAAAGTGCAAGTATAAAATGAGTTGTCCCTTTTTTTTTTAATTAAGGTCCTCTTCGTTACATTCTGTTTTGCCAAAGTCATTCCGTGATCTTGTTATGGAAGAAGAAAAATGTATGAGTGCAAATAATTCACCTGGTACTGGTATCAAAAGAGCTGGATATAAAGGAACTGAGGATTCATCAGTCCAAAACACCATAAAGTAAGAGAGCTGTCTTTTCCTAATTGATCACCATTATATAAAAACTACAATAACCTGTTAAAATTCTGCTAAAGTAGGAAAGGATAAAATTGTTATTTAAAAAAAAAAATCCTGTAAGCATTCTTTTAATGATTCTATTAGGGTTTTATTTACTTTTCGTAGGATTTTATGAACAGAATACTCATAAATAGGAAGCTTAAGGACTAAAGCAATTATGTGCCAGTGCTAATATTTTGTTTGAGGTCCAAAGTGTTTGTGCCCATATATAAGGAAACAGGGAGGGGGCGTGTGTGTGGTGTATCTGTATATATGGACACAAACACTTCAGGCCCCAAACAAAATGTGTGTGTTTGTATGTATGTATAAAAAAGAAAAACAGGTTTTTCAAACTTCTGTAGAAATCAGGTATTCTTTAGCATTCAGATATGGCATGCATGAAACAGGAGTTTGTGTAGGACTATTTCTGTGTGATCACTAGGTGGATAAAATAAGTTTATTCAAGCACAATTCTGGCATTTCTTGATCTGAGTTTTCTTAAAAGCTGAGTTAAGAGGGGTTGCTGCAATATTGATCCATTGGTTACGTCTCCGTATTATAATTACTGGAGGACTACAGTCCTAAGGACAAAAATAACTTTTTCTGAGGTGCATGTGCATTATATGTCTAGTTATTAGATAATATTGTTCTTTGGTCACCTTGGTTTAGCCACACATCCTCTTGGTACCTCCAGTAACATCGCTGTTTTGGGTTAAAATAACTGTCTAAGCTGAAGAAAGAAATCTCAGCGTTACTCCTGACAGTCTGTATAACTGAGTTGCCTGCATCTCTTCCCCACCCTGTCATCAGTAAGTGGGAATGCTGTGCATTCCAAATATATTTGAGACAGAAGGCCTGCAAATCTTACAGACTTTCCATCCCACTGACTGGAAGTGGTGCAGGCCAGCTGCCCCACGGTGGTAGGGGAGCCAAGTGTGACAGCTGCACTGTCCGGATGGTGGCCTCCCTGGCAAGCGCATGGCCCCACTATGCCAGAAGGGTGAGCCATAGTCAGGGAGTGCAGACAGGGCCATGGAAATGAGTCAGGGTTGAGGGTCAAACCTCCAAGTCAAGTCAGGGTCTGGAAGAGCAAGGCTGGGCTTGGGGATAGCTGAGGCGTAGGTCAAGAAAGGCCTAAGACTAAGGGACTGAGCTTAAGTGTGGCTCCTGAGTAAAGCGTGGGAGCCCCTGTGAGCCTTCGCACAGCCCTTCCTTGCAACTCAACCCTGTTCATAGCGTCCTGACTCAAGTTTACACAGCTGTGTTGAGGGAGAGGGGTTTGCAGGGCCTGTTGGTGCACAGGGAGCCCTGAAACCCATTACCTCTCAGTCTTTCTTATGAGCTGTTCCATCCCCCTTCAAAAACTGTCCCCTCCGTAAGGAAAAGAAAGTTCTTCTGGGTCTCCCTCTTGGTTGCACAGCTTGCATAGAAATTAGTGTTGCCCTAGGACAGGAGTACTGTCTGTCCTATTGGTTGATAAAGAACAAAATGAGGGTAGAAGTATAGGAACATTTTGTGTGGGACGGTGTTTGGGGAGAGAGGTAGGAGGGATTTGGAGGGTGTGTGTGATAAGTGGACATTCTTCAGGAACAGAGGGATGAAGTTTATTGCGGGGAGGGGAGATGTAGGAACATGAAACAATCTGCAGAAAAACAGGTATCATTTATTTTGTTGGTAGCAAAATAATAAAGCTTTTCGCCATGTGGGAGATGGCAAGGGCTGGTGATAAGGGGACTTGTACTGGCTGCTATTATTAGCTTTGTGACACTTGCACCGTCATCTTTGAAAAGTCATTTCTTTTCCGTTTGCGTTGCTCTTGGTCCGTGCAGTCTGGCCAGTCTGCACGCCCTCAAAGTGGATTATTTGAGCTGAATCCAGGCCTAATACGTTAGCTGTCTGAAAATGATACATTTGAGCTAGTGGGAGCCTGGATGACTAGATTGACTATAAGCAGTTGAAAAAGATGGCACTTCCAGAGCTATTTCAGGTTCTGAAGATGCTTATTTCTCTTTGTGAGGTATAAAGAGCTTAGGTGTCTGGTTCATCCATCTGAAAGTTAGGAGCTGAGTTTCTAGTTTGTGGTAATTTTATTCTTTGACTGTACAGTTCCTGTCACAGTAGGTTCTGATTTTTGCTTGCGGCATTTAAGGGCTATTTCTGTGAAGATTAATTATCCACACCCTTACCTCTTCCTTTTTAAGGAAAGGAAATTGTACGTGTGTGGAGCATAATAATGCTCATCTCTTTGATGTCAGACTCGCTGATGGGACACTGAAGATACTTGCGTGGCTACTGTTTCTGCTTTGTCTTTTTTTTTTTTTCTTTGAATAAATTGTACAGTTCTGACAATTTTCTAAAGCCTCTGGATGAGGTTTTTTGGTGATTGCATAAACACTCTTCCATGTAGTGTCACCTTCCAATTTATGCAAGCCAGAAATTTTCTGTAGATGATCCATGTCATGAATGTGGAGCTGTGAACAGGATTCAGTCCAGAGGCCGATCGGCCGAAAAGCTGGGCTGTGTGGATGTGGCTGCATTGTTTCCAGGGACAGCTCAGCCTTGGGAGTTATGATGTGCAGCTGTGCATGTGTAGCTCGTCATCCAAGCTAAAAACATAGGCCTGACATGACTTAACTTTGTTGTGGCAGGCTGGGTTGTCTTCACTGTGTTTCTCCAGGGACCAGTGAAGAGTCTTAGTAGAAACAAGTCATTGTGGCTTTGCGTGGGAATGGCCTAGATCTGCTTTGGCTAATAATGAGCTAATGAGTAGTGCATGACTCAGATGGTACAGCAAAACCCAAGAGGTTCTGCAGGAGACCAGGCTTTGTGTTCCTTCTCTGAGAGTAGTCATTAGATCAGGGGGGCAGTGGACCTGAACTGGCTTCAAATGAACAAATTCTTCAGAAACAGTGGGGAGCTGAGTGCTGGGACATCTTGGTGGCTGTGCTGGAGTCATGGCAAGTTCAGCCAACTGAGCTAATCAGGTTGGTTCAGTACTGGTGATACTTGGCCAGTTTGTTTCCATGCAGAACCACTTATGTCTCTGCATCAGTCTTTAATTTTCAAGACTTCTGGCGTTCCAAGTTCTATATTTTTGAGGCTTTTTTCCCATTTTTCTGTATATGCTAGCTTCCCATTTCCCGTCTGTTCCATTTCTCTTAGTTATTTTCATGCCAGCTGAGGAATTAATCTAGCATGTTGAAATATCTGCAGTTGATTTAATATCTGGAATGAGCGTCTTGCTAGCGAGAAACACAGATGTACATATGTACAAACAGCTTGAAAATATCTGAGCTGCTTCCTACGTTTTAAAGCCACACTTAAATTGAGGGAGATGACACAGGTATTTAAACTTATCTTTTAATTGATCACTAGAGTGTGCTGTGACACTGGAACTATTAGTTCCAGTTTTTGGAAAATTCTTTTGTGTTTGGGTTTTTTTTGTTGTTGTTGTTGTTTAGGCATTTTGGCTTCTGGGTTTGTTTAGAAGTCTTACTCTGGAAATAACTTTTTATCTGTACTGAAACAGGCTTGTTAAGGATAACTATCTACTTGGCTTCATTTATACCAGTGCTGCGAGTTCTTTGGATTATGAGTAGGAAGAAGAGTGTAGCTGTCTAATAGATTGGGTAGGTGTTGGTTACTGTCAAATGTGCAGGAAGGTGAGCATTATTAAAGTAGGTGGAAAAAGAGATAAAATTGAGAGATGACACCAGAATAAAGGTATTTAGTAAGTTGTACAAACATGCTCTTAAACCAGCAAGCAAAAAAACCTGCCCTCCTCTGCTCCTTCCTTAATTTTCTCTGGCTCTTACCTAGTATTTATTATATTATTAACTATCTTAAGTGCTGTAAAAGCTGGAAGCAGATTTATCTAGACTTCAGCTAAAAAGTAGTCCTCTGTTTTTGAAATCATAGTATAATTTAGATTCTTTAGTTCAGCCTCCTGCTCAAGTCACACTAGGTCACGTTGCTCAGGGCCTGGACCATTTTAGTTGTGACTGCTTCCAAGTATGAAGATACCCCAACCTTTCTGGACAACATGTTCCAGTGTACGATCATCCCCATAGTGGGGATTTTTTTTTCCCTATATCTAACTGGAATTTCCTACCTTGCAGCCTTTGTATGTTGCCTCTTACTCTATCACTGTGCACCTCTAAGATGATGCTTGCTGCATCTTTTTCTCTACCCTCCAGTTAGGGAGTTGAAGACAGCACTGAGACCGCCCCTTTTCCATCATCTTTTAGGGTTAACAAAACACGGTTCTTCCTGTTGTGTGCTCCAGCCCCTAATCTTGGTGGCCCTCCAGTGGAGTTGTTACAGCCTTACAGCATCCTTCTTGTATTGGGGAGCCCAAAACTGGGTATGTTACTCTGTATGTAAACTAAGAAATACAGCATGGAGGGGAAGAATCCCTTCCTTTGCCTGCCTGCCTAGACTATTGCTAGTACAGCCCAGTATGCAGTTGTCCACCTTTGCTGCAAGGGCAGGTCCTTCTCTGCAGAGCTGCTTTCTAGCTAGTCAGACCCTGGCCTGTACTGCTTCATGCAGTTGTTCTCTTCCAAATACAGGACTTTGCACTTGCCTTTGAAAAAACAAATCCTAAAAGGTTATGTGGCACTTGACTCGGTGTCATACAGTTCCCATATTTGTTTATCACACTCCATCTCGCAAGACCCGATACCGTTCTTAAATGAAATAGGATTCTCTGCCATTGATTGTCTTTTGCCAGAGATAAAGGAGACAAAAAAAATTACAAGATCCTGCTTTTCTACCTTTTTTTTTTTTCATTTTTAACTGTTCTTCAACACCTATGGAAAAAGCATGGAACTGCAGATATATAGGTACTCAATCCAGAGAATGGTACAGGCAGATTTGGCC